TTTTCAGGAGGTTGCATAGGCCAAAATCTTGCCTCTAAGTACTGCCTTTGCAGCCTCCCAAAAAAGTACATAGTCATCAACATGAGAAATATTATCGGTTGCATAGACGCGCCACCATTGTCGGAGGTGAGCATGAAAGGTCTCGTCAGTGAACAAATAGGCGGGAAATCGCCAAACAGTGGCGCGAATAGGCAAATCAAAACCATGGATAGACAATAACACAGAAGAGTGGTCAGATATTACCATATTGTCAGGGATATCGGCACAGGTGACCACACAGAATAAGGCAGAATGTATGATATACCGTTTTAATATGCCAACCAGAATAATACCAACAGAAACAAGTCTTAGCAACCAACTACATCTAAACAAACCCACATGCAAGAAGTAACAGGCAAGCAAACCCAGGGAGCAAAGCAAAATGCCAGGGGAACTAAGGGACAAAATGTCAGGGTACAAGGAGCTAACAGGACTCAGGAACATAAGGAGGTCACGGTTCCGGACAACAAGCAGGGAACATACACAGGATACAGGACTCGGGAACAGAAGCAGGTTACAGGACTGGGGACTCAGGCGAAACAGGAAACAATACTGAGCCACAGACCTTACTGCAGGGAGGGCTTAAGTAACCTCTCAGGGAGCACCAGGTGGTGGATGATTGGTGGCAGCTGGGAGACACCTGCAGGTGAGCACTGGAGTTGCAGTTTCCAGCACCACCCAGTGGAGGTCTGGTACCTAGCAGTTCCTGGCTGCCAGGAGACCCCTGAATATGGAAATTGCAGGGCTAAGCTCCAGCGCCACCTGGAAGCGCTCTGGATCCTAACACATATCTTCAATGGACACAGACCGGATCCTGGGAATCAAGTTAGAAGAAGAGAGAAATAAATCAATGCGGGACAACGATCTGTGCGCATGTGAGAAGTGGGTGTATTCCCTGTCGAGTGGATGTAAAAATCTCCATGTGTCGGTGAGTCCACAGGCGTGCATCATGGTGTTGAGGTGTTGATCTTGAGAACTCAGTAGACGAGAGGGTTGTTGTGATTCCCAGGAACGATCCTCTAAGGAAGAAGGCACAGCATTAAAGTCACCTCCTAGTAGGAGGAATGAGGTGGGGTCCCTAGCTGTGAGGGAGGATGTCAAAGTGTTGTAGAACGATTTGTTTTCTGAGTTTGGTCCATAAATGTTCCAAATGTCAATAGTATTCGAGTGAAGTTGAATGGAAACGTGAGACCATCTGCACTCCAGTGGATCATGTTGGTGGGAGAGAAGGGTGTGTGGCAAGGATTTACTGATCAGGGTAACGACCCCCGCGGATCGCCCGTTGGCAGGTGCTCCCACGACTGTGCTTACCCAACTTTGCCGCAGGCTCATGAAGTCCGCCTCCTTGAGGCGACATTCCTGTAACAAGGCTACATCCGCCTTGAGTTTTTTAAGGTGACGTATAACTTGGCGTCGCTTTTTATTTGATTTGAGTCCTTTAACATTCCAGGTGATCACATTCAGGGGGGATCCCAGATGAAGGTGATTTGGTGAGGTAAGGAACAATGATTTAAACGTCTAGCGTGGTGGTGGATGACTACAGGTGTCCCGGTGCTCCTGAAACATTCAAGTGGAATGACCCCCGCAAGGGGTGTTGTAGGTATGATGGTGCGAGAAAGGATCTGTAGGGGTGGGAGGGCCCCAGTGCTGATCCTCCCTGAAGATAGTGAGCAATCCCAGCCCATGGGAAGAATAAGTATAAAACGAAGATCACGTGTGGCGAACAGTCTTTGAACATAGCGTATATCGTGGAGATGATACGAAAAGCAGAAAACAAAAAAAAAATCCAAAAAGAAAAAAGAAAAGTGTTCGGTACGTGTAGACTTCCTTTTTTTCCTAGATGGAAGTACGTATTGTGCAGTCCCGCAGAGTGTCCGGAAACCCAACCCCAGAGCGTGGAGCAGGGAGAGTTGGTACAGTCTGGAGTAAAATAGAGAACAATAAAACAAATATGAACAGTATTAACTAGAAAAGACCAGAACTAGTAACATGGGCGCGCCGTCCCGCCAGGTGTGGTAAAAACAACAAGTGCCACATTGATTTTGGCAATGCCCTGCCCGTTTGGGGTCAACGTGTAGGTGTCGGCTGTTCGACCGGGCCCCCAGCAAACATTGGGTATAAGTAAAAGGCTAAAGATCAATCACCTCAAGTGACGGAGTCCGTCTTCTTCTTGCGCGGGGGCTCTTGATCGAGGAGTCCGATGAGGGTGTTTTCAGTGACTGGACATAAGCTTTGGCACGGTCAACTGACATGAATTGGAGTGCCCTGCCTTCAGGGGTGGTGACTTGTAAGATGGCCGGGTATGCAAGTGCAAATTTGATCCGCTGACTAACCAGCGCCTGGCAGACCTCATGAAAGGCCTTGCGCTGTTTTGTGAGTTCCACAGAATAATCCGCGAACAACAGGAGCTTGTGGCCCCAAGCTACCAAGTTGAGTTGGGAGCGATAGGCTTGAAACAGGCGGTGTTTGTCAGAATAGTCCAGGTATCTGACTATCACTGCTCTAGGCTTTGCGGGATCTTTGGGGGGCCCCAACCTATGAGCTTGATCCACCTTACACACGGCGGAGAGGCCCAAAGCCTGTGGAATGATGTTGGAACAATAATGATGGAGCTCAGCAGGTGTAACAGATTCAGGGACTCCAATGATCCTCAGGTTGTTCCTGCGTGCCCTGTTTTCTAAATCATCCACTTAGTCAGCAAGATAGTGCACAGTGTCAGTTAGATGGTCATGCTTCTGACGGCTAGTGTATATTGCATCATCTATGTCACATACACGGGATTCCAGTGCATGGATCTTATGGCCTTGGGCCTCCAGAGCCGCATTGAATTGCCCCATGTGTTGTTTGATGGAGTCGGCAATAATATGGGCCAGATCAGCTTTGAGGTGTGTGGCTACAACAGAGGCTAGGTGTTGGTAATCCACCTTGTCAGCAGACGGAGATGACTCACCCCCAGATCTTTCGTGCCGGCCGAGCTGCATCTCCTCCACGGCCGCCATGTTTGTGGAGCCGCGGCTGTTTTCGAGCGGCGTTTCCAGTGACCGTTTCGCGTCGGGGATAGGTTCTTCCTGTGGCATCGGGTCGGAGCAGGACTGGATGGGCACCTACAGTGATCGTTTTGGGTGTTGGCGGGACGGAGCTGAGGAGCGCACGTCTAGTCCATCAGGCGCCGGAACCGGAAGTCCATTTTGTGTTTTTAAGTAATATTTAATTGTATGCACAGTGTTGATTTTTTTTACTGTTCAATAGTTTTTTTTTTTATTATCAATGTGTGGTATTGTGTGGCAATCCCACTGTAGAATTGGATGTGATGATCACCTGGGACTCTCAGCCACATGGGCTGAGACGTTTCAGGAAGCAAGGGATTGTCTGGATTCTGCTTGGGATGCTGGAACTGGGAGGTTTCAAGGTGATTCTGGAGGAAAGATGAGATCCCTAGTCCTGGGTCTAGGCTTTAGCAGTGGCCAGCACTCGATAATTGCACAGGTGTGCACAGCCATTAAGAAAAGGATGCTGGCTAGGGGAATTAGCTTGTGCTGGGAAAGAGGAACAGACCGTGTTCAGGTGTCAGGAGAACGACCCCCAGAAGTCAGAGAGGAGTCAGGTAGTGAGTGTGCTGGAGGCACACTAGGACAGTCAGGGAGGCTGGGAGAGAACTGGTGAGGCTAGAAGAGCCGTGAGCCTGGGGGGCCACCAGTATCAGCGTGGGTCAGCACTTCAAAGAGGACCAGTGGGTCAGAAGTGCTACTGTTTAAAGTGGAAGCCAGGAGGTGGCTATTGTGTTGTTTTGAAGCCTTGCAAGAATGTTATGTTGAAAAACCCCTGCGAGGGTATCCAAGAGGGATGTATGAACTTTGTTTTGAATAAAAGTGGGCTACCGAACCCTTAAACCGAAGATATTGCGAGTAGACTGCATTCTTAAGCACTCACCATATATGCTAATATCCCCAAACATCACAAATGGTATACAAAAGTTTACACAAATAAAGTTTGGGTGTAAATACAGTTGTACATTAACACAAGTATAATAGGTTCGAATACAAAATATGTAATTAACATCAGTTATAGTTTTGGGGAGAACAAAAACTAGTAGAAGACATTTGATGGCATATTATTAGGTGGTTCTCGAGAAATGTCTGAACATGCAGTCCTGAGAAATGTAAATACGGGTAGAAGGAAGGAGAGTGCAGAAGAAGAGAATGAAATAAGAGAGGGGAGGAAATAAGTAAGAGAAAGTACCTTGTGTTGATTTTTTTAAATCAATGTATGACCATTTTATTGTGTATTTAGTTTTATTATGCTTTCTGTGATCTATATGAATAATCTAGTGTAGTGCTATGCATAAGCCTGTATTTGTGGCTTGGAGTGGAGGGGGTTCATTGATTTAATCAGGGTTTCAGTGTCTGCTCAACAACCACTGAAAATGTTTACTGGAAGGAACATGGAGTATGACGCAGTGACGTGATACTGGGCTTTAGTTGGTTAGTTGGTACGAATTTCCGATGAACTGCTGAAATGTTTACACACAGGTATAGAACAATTAAGTTCTATTGATTCTTTAATAATAAATAGTGTGAGAAATATTATCCCCCATCGAATGGTATTTTTGTCCTTTGCCAGCTTTTACCCATCGACCTTTGTTTTGGTAAGCACATCCTGGTTACAGAGTTTGCTGATCCTTGGAGTGTTTATACAGAGAGAAGCTCACCCTTATTGGGGGTGTGTACGAAGACGTTGGATCAAATCCAGAGAGAAGATCACCCTTATAAGTAGTGGGTAAGGAGGTGCAGCATCAGACCCAGAGAGAAGCTCACCCTTATTGGTGGTGGATACGAAGGTGTTGGATCAGATGTAGAGAGGAGCTCACTCTTATTGGTGTGAGTATGAAGGTGTTGGATTGGATCTAGAGAGGAGCTCACCTTTATCGGTAGTGGGTGCAGAGGTATTCCATAGAATCCAGGATGGTGCTTACCCCTATTGGTAGTGGGTTTGGAGGTGTTGGATTGGATCCAGAGAGGAGATCACCCTTATCAGTGGTGGGCACAGAAGTGTTCGATCAGATCCAGAGAGGAGATCACCGTTATCGGGGGTGGGTATGGAGGTGTTGGATTGGATCCAGAGAGGAGATCACCCTTAGCAGTAGTGGGTACATATATACATTCTAAAAGGAGGAACTCTGTTAATATAAGATCTCTTAGGCTGGAACCCCACCGTTATTGTCAGGTTCCCTCCTCTGAGATATATAAGTATATATACAATATTTGGCAAAATGACAACAAATACTGACCTGCACCAAATCCAGCACTGCAGCACAACTGATCGGCTCCTTGTGTTCCTTCTCTCCCAGTCTGGGCTCTGCGGTACAAGGACTGGAGGAGGCTGATAACGGGTCACATTCAGGTACTTACTCTCCCCCCCCCCCCTGAAATCAGCCAAATACATTCCATGTGCAGAAAAAAATAAAACATTTACAAAGTGTTACAGCTTGTTTTCTTTAGAAAGCAGCCACAGCTTGAGTAGAGAAGCCTATCCCCTGCCAGCATGCTGCGGAGAGGGAACGTTGCTCTCTGCGTTGTCTCCCCGCGGTTCCTCCACAGGGGTCTGGCACTCCACTGCTGAGTTAGAGATGTCCAATCAGCAGGAAGAATGACGTTTACTGATTGCAATAGGTATACTCACTGGAGAGATTTTCCCTCACTTCCTGTTCTGGTGAAACCCAAAGCACTGCAGCAAGCTGAACTTCATGTTTTCTCTTTGGAAGTTGATTGTCCATATACTACTTGAGGGAAACTGTTAAGGGTCCGGTAGCCTTTCCAAAGTAATATATGGACATATAAAAGAATAACAACTGTAAAATAATGATGTATAGTATATAGTAAATCACACAGAACATAGCAATAGGGATGCTAACTGGTCTGTTTGTTCCCTTTTCTGCAGGGTTTATAACCCACACAACTGTCTGAATATGTGGCTCATCTTGATTCTTGTAAGCTTTGCCACTTCTACCTCCTGCCAACCTTACCCCCCATTCACCAATGCCTGCCGGCCTGCCAAGAAGGCAGAATGTGATAAAGTCCATGCTGTCCCTGGTCACAATCTTATCGGCCAAGGCTTTGACATTGTGACCATGAAGAAGACAAGGGCTCACCTGCTGGATCTCCAGAAGTCTTCTACAAAGGATGGCGGCTGCACTGTCTGTCTCAACCCACACATGAACAAAGCCTGGCAGAAGCTTCCGGTCGCGATGATGGACTGGAAGACCCAGTCACAGTGTTCTCGGAAAATCAGAGTTCAGGTCTTCCAATCTTCTACATCGCTGGCTGAGGAAGCTGCATCAGAGGTGAAGAATGATTGGGAAGCTGGTCTAGAACTTCAGCACAACGGGGTGAATGCCAAGCTAGTAATGGCTGGTTCCCAGTCCCAGGTGGCAGAGTTTGGACGAAAAAAGACCAGCACAGACCGTTACACCTTCATCAGGCACCATCTGAGTTGTGTCTATTACAGGTACGTCATCAAATATAACACATATTATCATTATAAAACCTGTAGAAGTTTCCAAAAAGTTCCTCCATTCACTACATTAAAAGATCCGTCCATCAGATGCAAAGTTTCTTTGCTTTAAATAAAAAAGATTCGGTCAGTCTGCCCAGTACAGGCAAATCATTACCTAGATGCCCACTCAGCTGCCCCAATAGCTAGTGGAGCAGGTATGGCCACGTTCAATAAACAGTCTGAGCAGCATACGAAATGCTATCTCCATACAAAGTAATAGGATTCTCCTGATACAATCCTCCAGCGCTGACTGGCAGAACGGACGAAGGAGGGGTCGGGTACAGCTGGCTCTGCCTCTAGATAGGCAGAGCCAGCTGTCAATCACGCAGCTGGGTGGATCTCGATAGTAATGTTGGGATCCGTCCCGGCTGCTGCGGTCTCAGTATACAGCTACAGCTCGCGGTATACTGAGCTTTAGGTCACGTGAGAACGCTAGTTTGTGTCCTCCCGTGACCCTGAGGAGAACTATGGGAAAAACACTTACCCCATAGTTCTCCTTTAAAATAGTAGGAAAATGAATTCATGTTTTCATCTTTCATCTTGAATGAAGTTTTTATCTTGTAACTCTTTGTCACTTTGCCAGCTTCCGGCTTTCACACCTCCATCTTCTATGGTCTCAGTATACAGCTACAGCTCGCGGTATACTGAGCTTTAGGTCACGTGAGAACGCTAGTTTGTGTCCTCCCGTGACCCTGAGGAGAACTATGGGAAAAACACTTACCCCATAGTTCTCCTTTAAAATAGTAGGAAAATGAATTCATGTAACTCTGTAACTCTTTGTCACTTTGCCAGCTTCCGGCTTTCACACCTCCCTCTTCTAAACAAAGATCTGAGACAGGCCTTGAAATCTTTGCCACCAACTTATGATGCCAAGACTCGAGCTATCTACAGAAATCTAATTAGCATCTACGGGACTCACTATATCAAACAAGCAGATGTAGGCGGACAAGTGGTAGAGGTCAACTCCATCAAGACCTGCCAAGCCTCCATGGATGGCCTGTCCACGGATGAGCTGAATTATTGTCTTAACATTGAGGCCTCGCTCGCTGTCACTGGGAAAGCTAAAACAAGCGCCAAAGCTAAAGCCTGCAAGGAACTAAGCCAAAAATCCAACAAGGGGGAGAGTTTCCACCAGACGTTCAATGAGAGAACTCGGGAGGTGAGTACACCTATGTACACGAGAGTGAGTCAAAAATGTATCCGCATTAAACTTCTGTTAGCCGCACTGTCTTATCCGTTCAAGTCTAGTGTCTCCCCAGTCACTGCTGTGCAGTTGTGAACATGTTACGTCAGTTCATTTGTAACTGCGGTGCGAGAAAAAAATGGATGCCCCACTTGTGATTTGAATGAAAAAAGAGCAGCGTGCAGAGATACTTTTTTTGTGGTCTGAGGGTGTGCATGGTGCCGTTATTTACCAAATACTTTGTGCGTATTATGGACAGTATGGAGAAAGTGTTTTGTGGTGAAGGAGTTTGTATGAATGTTTAGAGAAGTTCAAGGAAGGTCACACAAGTGTTAGCCATCAAGAAGGAGCCAGACGCCCGTCCACGTCCACGTCTGATGACACATTGAGCATCCTCCCTGTAGAATATGCTCTGCTTTGGGGGTGCCTTAAATTACTGATGACCAACTGAATCTTAAATAAGTGTTGGGTTTATTTACAAATAGGGTTATACATACATACTAATTACAATTAAGGCAAATGGAGAAGGGATTTGTAGGGGGGTCAGTAGGGATAGGATTTGAGGTTAGGATCCTTCAGCTAACAACCACATTCTCTCTCTCTCATTCACACATGCCATGACCTTTTCTCTGTGCTCAGAACACTCCTCTCCAGCAGGTCCTAGCAAATCACATTCTTGATTGTAGAGTCCAGAAAGACTTGTCTTGTCCAAGCAAAACTGTTTTGTGATGCACAGATCCCTGCTTTCTGGAGACCAACCCCTGGTAAATGTGTTTCAAAAAAGAAGAGGGATAGAAAAAGGAATAGAAAAAGATGGGTTTTTTTTGGTGGCTCCAGAAAGAACAAGTCCAATAAACATCAGTCTCATAGAAGTATAAAAAGTATACATTTATTGAACAATATATAATAAAAGCATTAAATATGCATGAAAGGATAAAAATACAAAGCATATACCTCATATACCCTGAGTTATATGCTTCATATTTTTATCCTGAGGTATAGGCTTCGTATTTTTATCCTGAGGTATATGCTTCATATTTTTATCCTGAGGTATATGCTTCGTATTTTTATCCTTTCATGCATAATTAATGCTTTTATTATATATTGTTCAATAAATTTATACTTTTTATACTTCTATGAGACTGATGTTTATTGGACTTGTTCTTTCTGGAGCCACCAAAAAAAGCCCATCTTTTTCTATCCCTCTTCTTTTTTGTCTTATCCAAGAGGTCACCAAGGTTACCATTGTTCCTGCTTCTGAGCTAGGTTTATGCAGTTGTTCACATAGGAAGAATGTTCCATCATATGCCCCCGCTCCCATTCCAGCATGTATGCTGCATTGCCACCACAGGTGTGGGCAGTAAATGCCAGCAGTGGGTCTGGCTTGATAAGGCACCTCGGGCAGATCTTCCCTTCTCCACAAACCCTTTGATGATTCTCAATTGCGTATCACAAAGCCACATGCTGATTCAGTTCAGGATATCAAGGAACACCTTTACATCAAAGCTGTATCATAGATGTCAATTTTATTGGCTCTAACACTCCCTATAGTCCTGATAGTCCATCTGACTTTCACCTGTTTGGTCCCGTGAAAGCAGCCCTACCAAGACAGGGATTCACCTCTGATGAAGAAGTGAAGACAGCGGTGCATTTGTAGCTCACAGCTCAGACTAAAACATTTTTTGATGAGGGAATTTGAAAGCATCTTCACAGATGGACAAAGGGCATTGAAAAGCAAGGAGACTATGTTAAATTATATATATAATGCATATTATTTTGGCTGGATTTATACTTCCTGTTCCCTAAGTCAATGTTTTATAACATTTCCTCCTTTGCTCCTCAATCAACATGCTTGGCTTAGTGTCACACTAACAAAACAAGACATCATAGATGCACAAAGCACTTTAAGCCTGTATGCCATGTCTACTTTAGTACACTAACACAAATGTCTAGAAGAGTAGGACAAAGTGTCCCATTATTTTACCAATGGTTCAGTCCTAGGTGTACAGAGCCAGTGTGGAGGAACTTTTAGTACACAGTAGAATATACTGCCAATGATTACACACAACAACTCGTACAGGGGCAGCAACAATGAGGACCCAATCAAATTTCTCTGGCAGGGGAGGGACAGCAGGAACCTAGAACCATTTGTTATACATAGGAATTTGTTACTGACAATCAGCAACATAATGCGTGGGTGGCTGTGTGACACCAATGGGTGCCCTGCTTACCAAGGGTGATGCTACTGCTTAATAAACCCAGCCCTGCATATTGCCCCTTTTACTGATTTTTTTATTTTGTGAATTTTAGGTAAGAGGAGGAAATATCTCTTCTGAGCTGATCTCCTTTGATGTCAACAATGGAGATGGCGCATCTTTTGAGACCTGGATGGAAAGCCTAAAAACTGACCCTGATATTGTAACCTACTCTCTGGAGCCCATCCACAACCTGGTTCGATACAGTGGACCTCAGGGAGTGAACCTACGGAAAGCCATCAGTGAATATATCATGGAGAAGGCTTTGAGTAAGAACTGCTCATGCCCAGGGGGTTCACAGCTAAGTCCCGGTAAAGAGTGCAACTGCGTTTGTCCTCATGGTCAAGGTAAAAATATAAACTGTTGCCCCTCAAAGAGGGGACTTGCCAAAGTGGTGGTCACTGTAAAAAGTGCTTCAGGCCTGTGGGGTGACCACTACCCTATGAAGACTGATGGCTATGTAATCGTAAGTGTTGGGTTGGTTTCTGCTCGCACACAGACCATATTGGGCAATGACAATCCAAACTGGGACACAAGACTGGACCTCGGGCTTTTGAAACTCAGTTCAGTGACTAACTTCAAGCTGGAAGTTTGGGATGATGATATTGGAGATGATGATCTGCTTGGAACATGTAAAAAATCAATCGTCAGTGGAGAGAAGGATGAGGTTTGTTACCTTAAACATGGCAGTGTGACCTTTACAGTGAGTGCACAATGCGTTCCTCACCTGACTGGGCCCCTCTGTAGAGATTACGCTCCTTCCCCCAGTTAGATTTCTAATGGTCAAGTTAGAGTTCTATAGTCAAGATGCTTTTGTAACTAATCACAAAGAAGGAGCAATTTGTAATTTCTAGCAATGAAAGTTATTACTGAGCGCCTCAACTGTTAATTCATTGAAACAGCTCGTGTCCTAAAACATACTGAGTGTACTTTACATTGATCTGCTTTATGATTCATTTCTGCAATAAATATATTTGAGCTTTGACATTGTAGTGTTTGCTTATTTGTAAAGCCGTACTCCAGGCAAACAGCTAAATACACAGATAAAGTAACATATAAGGAAAATGTGTTTCTTCCCAAAGGATAACAGGAAACAATAAAAAGCTGTGAAAATAAGGGGTGCGGGTTTTTGTCCTCGCATAAATCAAATAAGATCTACCCTGACTCACATATCATATCTCTGCTAAATAATATTGGAAGCTTCAGGAATATCAAAAAAATAATAAAAAATTAGGGCTGGGGAAATTAACGATTAATTCCTCGATTAACTTTTTGATCGATTAAAATTCTTTTGATCGAAAATGAAAAGACTCACCTCTCCGCCGGCTTCCGGGAGTCCTGTCGGAGATCCGGTGACGTCACAGACATCAACGTCACCGGACTCCTCCCCCCTTTCCCAAGTGGCTCCATCCTACCCCCTTCCCTTCGTTAGCCGACGGAGCCACTTGGGCCGGTGAGAAGCACCAAGCTTCTGTCTTATCTTAAACTTGTATGTATGCACTATGTGGGTCTCCATTAACCCCCCCCCCACCTCGCTCCCAGAAATGTGCCCATTGAAATTTACTGATATTATGTTGCAATCAGGTCCTTACATGAAATGGAATGGACAGGTGCTGCTACTTCCAATTTTAAGCTAATACTTCTGTTTAAATCACCCTTAGGGCTTTGCTGTTTTACTATACTATGTAAATACATTTGTAATCCAGCACGTTACGAGAGTTGCCCCACTCAAGCGGCGGCCAAATTGAGTGGGGCACGTGAGATTAATAACGTGCTGGATTAGTGTGATCCTAGTTCATTTTATTACTTCACTGCTGTGCTGTACAGATGAAACTCGAATAATTAGAATATCGTGCAAAAGTAATTGCAGTAAGTGCTGCAAAAGGGGCCCAAACCAAGTACTGAGTACATATGCATGCTTGTACTTTTCAGAGGTCCGATATTGTTCTATGTACAATCCTTGTTTTATTGATTGCATGTAATAATCTACTTTTCTGAGGTTGTGGATTTGGGGTTCTTGGGGTTTTCATGAGCTGTAAGCCATAATCATCACAATGATGACAAATCACGGCTTGAACTATCTTGCTTTGCATGTAATGAGTCTCTCTCATATATTAGTTTCACCTTTTAAGTTGCATTAGTGAAATAAATGAACTTTGCACGATATTCTACTTATTCAAGTTTCACCTGTATGTGTATAGGCCAATGCAGTTGGATCTGTATGTGCGTTATAATTAATAAAAATGAATCGAACACGAACATTTAAATCATTACCAGCCCTATAAAAAATACTTGGTAGAAAATAAATCTTCATTATTCTCAAAGTCCTAATATAGAGAGCAAAAGCCTTTCAGTTTAAAAACATTTAAGAACAGGTCGCCAGGCTCAAAGATTCTCCTAATATAATTCATATATATGAATAAATTACACTGCGTACAGCCAGGGCCATCTTTAATATTGATTGGACCCCAGGCAAACATTTTCTTGGGCCCCCTCCCCTACCCACCAAGCCACGCCCTCTACCTGCCATGCAGTTTCTCTCTCCACCCCAACATCCCAAATCAATGTATTTATTTTATATATTTTTTCTATCAGCCCCCCGTCTGCCTAGCAACTGATGATGCAGATGGGCGGGCCGGCTGGTCTAGGCATGCATGATAGGTTCTGATCCCTGTGCTTTGATTTTTTTTTTAAATGTCCCGATCTTCTGATCTCTGCTGCCTGTCTGCAAGGGGATCAGAGTCTATTATTGAGCCTGTGATCCCCGTGCTCTCCCCCCTCATCCTCCTGGTTTCCCTAATCTCTCCCCCCCTGATGTTACTTGCAGACAGGCAGCAGATCGGGAGATCAGGACTTTGGTCTGCTCTGCCTAGTAACTGATGATGTGATGGGCGGGCCGAGGTACGTAATTATGACAGCCCGCCCATCAGCATCATCAGTTGCTAGGCATCATTTTACTAAATCCTGGGCTGTCTCCCTGTGGGCACCTAGTTTACACCTCTCCCCCTAGATTCAATAGCCAAATAAATTGTGATATTTTTAATATATATCTCTCTTGGACGGTCATTTACACCCCCCCAGAAACCCTTATACCCCCCCACTTTTTGTGAAATCAGTTGCTAGGCAGAGCAGACAAATGTCCCGATCTTCCGATCTCTGCTGTCTGTCTTATCTCTGGAGAGATAAGGGCAACCAGGAGGGTGAGGGGGGAGAAGGGACGGGGCAAGAGAGATGGAGGGAAAGATTCCCATTCTGGCCAAATCTGGCAAGCAAATTGCATCCAAGCCCCGCCTCCTCCTTCCTCTTTTTTTTAACAGGAGGTTGCGCAGGTCATACAGGCATGGTTGTGCCTGTATTAGCCTTATAAATGCCTCAGAATTGAAATTTGACACACATGAATCAGCCATTTTGTTTCCCAGTGTGCTTTGCAGGTGGTCTTCAACAATGTATATGCGCCATAAAAACGTACGTTCTTTTTGCACAAAACGCGCGGCAAACGCGTTTTCCATTGAAATCTATGGAGCACAATCTGCCTGAAAGAAGCTCATGCACCTTTTCCAGCGTTCAGCGTTTTTACAGCTTGCTGCTAAACTCTCAGGTGTGAACAGGGGCCATAGAAATGAATAGGAATTCTTGTGTTGTGTGTTTTGAAGCTTAAGCGTTCAGCGTCAAAACGCCCGGGTGTGAACAGGGACTTAATCCTTGAGTGGGATCTGTGTGTGACAAGGGCATTCCAAACAATACCTTGGGATACTGAGAATTACACCTGATGTACAGGAAAAGAGAAGTGGTGCTGTGTTCAGTTTCATAGTAAAATACATACATACAAAATAGAATGAAATGAGCCCAAGTGAAAGTTCTCTTTACTGGAAAGTTCCACCTTCCTGGTCTGGTAGTGATGATAGTCCCGGGTGACCCTTCAGGTGATGGACGGTCTATAGAGATGAAACACATCCTCTTTGTGGAGTTCAGCTTTAAGCAGCCCTGGTTAGATGTTCTGTAAATCGGAGTTTTAAGGTCTGTGGTGGGTTTCCTCTGTCTGATGACACAATGTGAGAAGGTGTGATCGCCCCCCCCTACACATATAACACGCTCAGACATCTCCTGTCCACATCCTGTGTCAGCGTCTACAGCACTGAGATCAGATAAGATCAGGGAACTGACATCCAGCAGCAGGTAAGTCCGTCTGTCCTCCCATCCACACCTATCACTGACCATCAGGGACGAGGTTCAGGTCCACGATGGGTTCAAGAAGAATCCTGTCCAAGGTTGGCCATCCTGAGAACTAATGTGGTAGTTCCTGAACTCTTTGTAACTATAACCCGCTGCAATTAAGTCTTTGGACTTTGGCCAACCGGAGTCAGAGAGCCAATAGCGGGGAGGTTTGTTATATACCAGACCCAGCTTTATAAAAGGGGGGCACAGAGCAGCCATAGCGTTAGTGCATCAGAAACGGTTGCAGGGAAAAGATAGGACGAGCTGACAAACATAAGGAGAGCTGAGATGAAATGAGGGAACTGTACTTAAATTCTCATTGCTAGCTCTTTGGGCAATCCACCTCTTTGCTGCCTATTTTCTTATTATTGGGGGATTATTTGCCTTCAATTTTATTTTGTCCTTGATTTAAGGTTAGCAATCACTTGCAGTTCCTGTTGTGTCTATAGCAAACCTTTTTTTTTTTTGCTGCAAGGCCTTCTTAAAAGAATGAGCTTTTGTTTCGGGAGCATTTTTGGGGGGTTTTCATGTATTTTAAGGGTACTTTTTTTTTTAAAGTGATAGGACCTTTATTTTGGGTTAATCTGTTTATTTTTGCTGCCAGGCTTCCCTTAAAAACATATGTATTTTATTTCAGG